ATCGTTTGCAAATATGAACAATTATTGACAAACAGATCGACGTCCAAGTTATTATGGTTTTTTTTATAATTACACAAAAAGTTACTCCCTAAGAGTAAAAAACGATTTGAAGAGAAATTGAACTTATGGTCAGCCGAAAATACGTTTGTTTGATTTTTTTTTAATGTTCATTGACGAACCATTCATATTTAAACCAATTTCCCGGCAATATTATTTATACTTAATTTAATAGATTGCAACAAATGACAGAATAGAAAATTGAATTACTTTGATAAATTCTGTTTAATGTAAGAGGCACCATAATCAATAATTATTTCAAACTATTTATTATTTTCCAAGCAAACTAAAATGAGATGTGCCCAAAAATTTGAAAAATCTTGACGCCTCGTTGTAAATCATCATTTCTAATTCAGGTCTTGAATTAAATAACAATAATGTTCAGAGCTTTATTGTTATTTTGAATTATTTTAAATAAGTATTTAAATTTAATGTAATTATCAATTGTTTCTTCAATCTTGAAAATTACTACTACTATATTATAACAATTATTTTCTTAAAATAACGAGTTGAATATACTTGTCACCAAGTAAGCTGGTGCCATTGTTACATTCAAAACATTTATTAATTTTTTATGATTTACATTGGAAATCGCTCATTTTTTGTATCTGAGATGAGCAACATGATGTTGTTAATTTACTTACTAGGTGAAACCGAAATGATAAAATCAATCCACAAATAAAACAATAATAAATTATGCATTAAATTTAAATAAAAAATAAACTCGAAAGATTTTGTATCTGTTTAATTAAAAACGAAATACAAAAAGGTTAAGGTAACTGTAATATATTACCCAATTTTTTTCTTTAAATTGAAATATTTAATTTTGTATCATTTACAAGAAAAAAGTATAAAAAAAAAATCCCAACATCTTTATTTGTTCATAAACTAATGCATATATTCACAAAATTAATTAACAATATTGTACGCTTATAAAAGTTACCGAATTCTTTTGTCTGTGCAAATAATTTTATTCATCTAAATTACGATTATTGATTTCCTTGTTAGATTTATAATCAATATTGTGTATTTTCATGAATTAGTTCATTTTGTACTTTGTCGATCACATTTTTTTCGAAAATCTTATCGCTTTTCTTGAAAATTTATATAAAAAATCACATAAAATTATTATAGTATAACATTGTAATAGACGCTCAAATTCTTAAAGTATAATGATATCTGACAGTGATTAAAATCACTATAAAAAAAAAAACGCTTCCACGCAAATCTTTAAATAGTGTTTAATTTTAAAAAATTGGTGGATTATTCTAAAAGCTACGTGATCTGCTATTTCTTTATTAATATCCTGATTAAGATAAAGTATGTCGAATAAAAAAGAGATTATTAAAAAATATTATTTCTTATAAAAAAATTGTATTGATCCATATATTTTTCAAAAAGTTATAGCATAATAAAGTTAAAAATGTAAAAAATAATATCGAGAATTTTCACACAAAAATAGCATTCGGTAGCCATTTTCACCACGAAGACAAGTCCAGAGGTTAAAATTTTTTTTTTTTTAAATTAAAGAATATTACATTAGCATTAATTTAAGATATATATAAAAGTGTCAGACCTTCCGGAACGTTTTCAAAAATTAAATTGAAAAAGTTAATTTTTTGTAAAAAAATTGTCATTTTAAATCCCTCCTTGTGGGCAGGTAAAGGGTTAAATCTATAAAAAAAAATATACCAAATGATAGGTAAAGACATCAAGCAATTTTAAAAAAAAAATTACATTGATTTGTTCATTTTTGAAAAAGTTATGGCAGTTTTAAGTAAAAAAATTGAAATATTTTCGAAAATTAGCAATTTTTAAATTCGTAATTTTTTTTTTGAGGGTTTCCCCCATTTACGGGGAACGAGGGAAATTTTTACAATTTTTGAGGGTAATGTCTTCGACTAGATACGATTTGTGATCTTTTGACGTACTGTTGAAAGAAATCAGTTCGGTGAGAGCTGAGAAAAAGTGATAATAGACACAATAAAAACANCATACTGTTGAAAGAAATCAGTTCGATGAGAGCTGAGAAAAAGTGAAAACAGACACAATAAAAACATTATAATAAAACCAATACCTTCTCAGCTTCGCATCGAATCTAAAAACTGTAGCACAACGTGGACGAGGCATAGTTGAGACAGATATGATGATATCTGACTGTGATTAAAATAACTATCATAAAAAACGATTCAAACAAAATTTATAGATAGTGTTTAATTTTAAGAAATTGATGCATAATATCAAAAACAAAATAAACTCCTATTTCGTTATTTGTATCCTGATTACAAGTATTATGGTATATAAGTATAATATCTTCTTCTTCTTCTTCCTCGCCTTAATCCCAACTACTTTGGGTCGGCCACTCTTATCCTAAACCTCCACTTGACACAATCTCTCACATCATCTACGCACACATCAACAGTCCTGATATGGCATTTAATATCATCTCTCCGTTTTTTTTTTTTTTGGTCTTCCTCTTCTATCTCTTTTTCCTTACCGAATCTTGTAGAATTTATCTCAAGTAAAAGCTCAAATTATAAACAAGATATTGGTCACTAATATAAATTACTGATTTTTCTAAAATATATTTATGTTATTAAAATACAATACAAACTTGTTTGATTTATTATTTGGGTCTCTAGTATATGAAAACGAAAAACACTTAACGTCGGTATTGTTTGGCGACAGTGACCACCGGAGGTTCCGCACTCTGTGAAACGATTATTATGGTACGTTTTATTTTGACTGTTGAAATTACTGTATTTTGTGTAACGAATACAATATTTTTTTTATGTACTCTTATTGCGCCTTTTTAATAGAACATTATTGAAGTTTAATGTATTTTGTTGAAAAAATCGTTTGTTATTTAAATTTTTATCTTGTTTTTAGAAATATTTTTAAGGCACTTTTAAGACTAATTTTTTTGATGTGGTGTCATTGCCAGCTCGAATAAGAGGTCTTACAGAGATAAATATTTTGCATAAGTCAAATAAGGGATCTCCTTTGTTACTTGTTAGTACAAGTTAATAAACTTGTCATGAATTAGTCTAAGATTAAGTCTTTGACCGGCTTTGAGTCGAACTTTGAACTGTTGGTGTCGGTAGCTACAACCTTTTAGTAGTGCAAAATGTACCTTTTGATTGAGATGGAACTACCTTTTAAAAAATCTCAAGTAGAATGTTATGGATTATTAAATACTTTAACTAAGCTCGGTAGTAAGGAGACAGTTGTTTTAGTATTTATTAATTAAATGTATACCAAATTATATGACATGATCATTTATACAAATCAATCAAATACGGAGTATTATAAAATGATGGTTGATTTTTTCGTGTACTAAAAAACACTTTAATAGTTACGTGATCGAAATCGTACTATACTTTTTTATGTATAAAAATAATTTAAAATATTGTCAATTCCCATTGAAAATATGTCATTTATAGAATGGCGCAAGAAAAATTATATTGAATTTACAATATTTTTTTTATCACACAAAAATAGAGAAAAAGACTCATAAATCATTGAATGATAAAACTATGATATTTGTGAAATAAAATACGGTAAGTGTTTGAAAAAAATTAAACATCAGTGGCGCAACAATAAAATAATTTGGCGGGAGGAGTTATTACTTTTTTATTTAGTAACAAATCTTATTTAAGGTTTCACTCGGTTTTGTTTTAATTAGAAATAAAGATCAATTGAAATGGTATGTTCAAAAACCATTTAATTTATTTAATTTCCGTTGAAATGTTTTTTTTATTTTGAAATAGCTATTTTTCATAACGGATCGATAACAATTTCAGGACAACTGCTTTCTACAAAATTTAGAACAACATTGAGTTACTAGATTTTAATACAGTGTGTTGAAATGTAGTGGGGGTGGGTTGATGTAGTTTGACTTGTGTATATATACTGCACATATACACACTTTGTGTAACTTGTAATGTTTGTAACTCGATAATTACTTGGCCTAAAATTGTTATTCACCCATCAACATTTTTTGTAAGAAAAAGTCGAACAATGACTATTTTTAAATAAAAAAAAAATAATAAAAAACAATATTTTTACTATCATATTTTTATTAGTGATAAACAGGACTGAATTATAAACATTTATAAATTTTGTTTAGGTAATCAAACATACCATAAGTCAGTACAAATTTTTACTAACTGACTAAAAAACTTAATGATGTGTTTATCCAAAATTAAAGTTTTGGAGAAGATTAAGGGTGTTAATGCACTGCTAACAAGAAAAATATTTCTGCGTTACTATATAATCCAACGACAAAGTTGCACAAGTTTGGGGCACATCAAAGTGCCTAAAACAAAACCTGTAAATGTACATAATTCACAGCCATGGTGTTATAATACATACACCACTCATAATTCTGTAGTTTTTAAGAAAAGGATTGACGTTTTGCAATGTTCTCAAATTCATGTTGTAGGCATAGAATGTTTTTTATTAAAATTGTCACCGCATAAAGATCACCGATAATTTTACTGAATAAAATTACTGAATTGAAATTAGTTATGTAACATAATTTTTGCGATAGCCTAATAATTGATGGTATTAAATTAAATGTTAAATGTTAAAAAAAAAAATGAACATGATTATAAATTCTCAAGTATTATCATTTTTGAAAAAGTTATGGCAGTTTTAAGTAAAAAAAATTGAAAAAATATCGAAAACCTACGATTTTTAAATTTGTAATTTTTTTTGACATTTCCCCCATTACGGGGAACGAGAGAATTTTTTTCAATTTTTGAAGATAATGTCTTCAACTAGATACTATTTGTGATCTTTTGGCGTATCGTTGAAAGAAATCTGTTAGATGAGAGCTGAGAAAAAATGGTTACAAACACAAAAAAAAAACACATCATAGTAAAACTAATACCTTCTCAGCTTCGCATTGAAGCTAAAAACAATTAAAAAATGCAGATAAAACATTTGTTTTAAATAGTTTTAATATGAACCAATTTATAAAACTTAAAATTATATATTAATTAATATATAATAATTTTAAGTTCTTAAAATATTATTGATTTTCGAAGATGATCTTCTGTTATCACATTGTAGTCGTGTTTAACAAGACGTATATACATCAACAACACTTGTAAAATGTTTAAATAATTGACAGAATTATCTAATAACACAAATAGAAAAAAAAATTAATGATAATATAAAATATAATATTGTTGTAATAATGAATTTGTTTAAAACGTTACTGTGGGTTTTCGCAAATAATATCAAGAGCTGTAAAAATTTTATTTTATCACATCCGACTTTAAAACTATCATCATTTGAAATTGTTGTCAACATTTCTATATTAAATTCGCATTTATTTTCCTTGTCGTACCTTTCAAATTCTTTCACGACATTTAAAACAGCTTGATGCGGAAGAAAAACGACCTGTTTTACAAGATATGAATTAAAATAAGTATGTTTTATATCATATTACTATTGAAAAAAACATTACACCAATATTTGGATTTGAAACATTATTTGAGACGTGCAACACGAAATATTTAAGTTGGAAATTATATGTTCCTGTAAACAAATTATCAGCTGACAAATATGACGAATAAATGAAATCAAAAAGTTTAAAACAAAAAATAATAACTTGTTTTCTATACAGTTAATTACTTTACTATAATTAAGATCAATATTTTTATTATTATTAACAAAAAACCAAAAAATTAAAAACAATATATTTTAATGAAAATCGATAATCTTCGACAAAAAAAAAAATGAACTATAATAAGTTATAATTGAAAAAAATAAAATAGAATATGCTGCTATACAGAATAATTTAACACTTAACACTTTTTTATTTGAAATTGAACTTATTTTCTAAAAAAAAAAGAAATCAAATTAAAAATATTAAATTATTAAACATTACTATTTTCGATAAATGAAAAAAGTGGAATTTTGAAAAATGAGGTTAAAGAATCAAAACTGGCTTGACTCATATTGTTAACTTCCATACAATTTTTAATAAGTATTAACATGTCCTCTTGAAGTATACTCTGTAAATTTCAATTTCATAGTTAAATGATTGTATTTCTTTCTCTGCAATGTTTGTATGTGTGTTACTTAACACGATTACTCCACTCCTACTAGACCAATTTTACTCAAAGATACGTCAAAAAATCAAAAAACGTATCTTAAGATGAGGCTACCAGTATCATCATTTTGAGAAATTCTCCTCAACCCCTTTACTATAGTGAAATGTTCTAAAAAAATACAGTTGTTATAAAACAGTCTATGTTGCTATTTTTAGTTTTAGCTTTGATGCAAATGGTGAGAATATATTAATTGATGTCTTTTTTCTATAATTTTCTAATATTTTTAAAATTTTAAAATCATTATGTGTTTACTTAAGAACAATGTTGGAACATACACAAAATTAAGTAAATCTAATTAACTTGTAGTAAAAATAAGACTTTTGACATCAATGTCTATTTTCAAGTGTGTTGTTTTCATTTTGACGTTCCCCAAATTATTAAAAATGAAAAAGAAAAAAATAATTGAACAAAAAAACACAATTAAAAAAGAACTAAATCTTGGAGTAGAAATTTTTAGTTCAATTATTATTATTATTATATTATAATCAACGCCAAGCGGCTTTTACAAAATTAACAGACAATAAAAAATTGGACAACAGATAACAACTTAATAGACACATAACTTATACTGACTTAATATTAGAGGGAAAAAAAGACATGGTAAATAATAAATAAAATATACATGGTGTAAATTGTATAAAACAGGATGTGAGCACTTCGTACTATAAATGGTTTAATAACATATTTTATTTTTTGCATTATACATCGTCCTTATAAGTGGAGCATTCCTGGAGAAGTTAGTTTTATTGGTGGGGATATAAAAATTACACTGAAGCCTAGTATTACTAGGATTCCGAAAACATAGTTCTCCAAGAAGCCTGGGAGCATCAACTTGACCTTCGATCAGACGCTGAATAAAAGAGATACCAAAATTATCACGCCTAACAGAAAGAGGAACAAGTCTCAGAGCTTGACTTACTGGCTCGTATTCATGTGGTGGATGAGGAATGTTGAGGCAATAACCGGCGAAACGCATAAAACTACTTTGTACACGTTCGATCCGACAGATATCAACTGCGGTATATGGTGACCAAACAATAGACCCATATNCCGACAGATGTCAACTGCGGTATATGGTGACCAAACAATAGACCCATATTCAATAACCGACCGGACTAGTGCACTATAGAGAGCTAAAAGGCACTCGGGAGAGCTGAAATTGGTTGAGTGACGTCTTATAAATCCCAAAACCCGAAAAGCTTTGCTGGTTGCATAATCAATATGAGGGCTGAAATTAAGGGAAGGTACAAATAATATGCCTAAATCATGGACCTGATTAACACGCTGAATAGATATACCATCAAGCTTATAGTCAAAAGNTAAACGCGCTGATTAGATATACCATGAAGCTTATAGTCAAAAGATATCACTGACTTGGAACGAATGAAAATATAATTTAAATGCAGAAGTATTATTTTATTTATTTATATTTACGTTAACAAACTATTAAATGTATGAAACTGGCTTGCGTTAATTTCATTAATTTAAAACTGTGGTTTAAAATCATTTACCTGTGTACCAGAAATAAAGTATAATGTTGTTAATAAACTAAAAAGTTTATAATGCATCTTGTTAAAATGTTTTTAAGTTTCAAAATATTTTAAGTTAGTTATAATTGATATAGTTGTTTAACTTATTGAAAATACTCAAAATTTAAGTTTTTTGTGAGCTGTTATTTTATAGCTAAAACTGTGTCGAATCGATAGAAAAATATATTTTTAACCATGATCATATTTTAATTTTAAAAAGACAAGATAAATATTCTTTTTTTCGACAGATGTATTGCTTCTATACAATAATAAATATGTTATGTTTAAATATTTTGCGTCATGATATTTAATATCGATACATAACTAAGAAGCTATTGTTTTTTTCCTGTCAAGTTTTACTTTTAAAACTTATTTTAAACTAGTGATAATATAATGCACTTTGAGATGAATAAATTACCTGAAAACTTAACTTTTCGGAGATATGAGCCATTAAATAAAAAAAATCATACAATTTTCGATAAAAATTGTTGATTTTGTTAATTATCGCATTGAGCGGAAATTCTACAACATTATAAAATATATCAAATTAAAGATTATTTAATGATCTATACAATTAACATATGAAAGTCGTTCCGAATACTTGCCTTATATGATTAATCAACATCTAAATACGAGAACAGTGTAATTTCGGATGAATTAAAGATAATTTTGTATTTAATTTTTTTCAAATAAGTTTCAAAGCGTTTTATGACAGTGATTTTAATCTCTATTAAATATTAACCAATACTAATCATAAAATTTAGCTTCATTTCGTTATACTCCAACTTATTTTAATTTGTTTTTTTTTTTTTTTTTTTTTACTGCAAAAAATTCGTATTATGTTTTAAACTGCTAATAATAATATATATTTGTGTAGTTATTTACCAATTTTTTTACGCGCATATAGAAATAAAATTTGAGGCCAAAATATTTGCAATATGATATACATGATGATTTTTTATAACTCATGAAAAAACTTTAAAAATATAACATATAAAATTATTTTTTCTTATGTGAAATTAATAATATCTATCGTTCTATAATTTCCAAAAAAAAAGATTATTCATATCCCTCTCTTTTCCCTCATAATGTTATTAGATTTAGTTTTTCTAATGAAAAATTATATTTTTAATCAATTTAAAAACTAGTATATGATATATCTAAGTATATATAATAAAAATTGGAATAGTATTTCGAAAATAATTAAGTCTCTTATTTAAAGACTCTGGTGATCCGCACTACTCATTTCGCTTAGTTGTAGAAAGCTAATATATTTTAAAATACTAGTCTAAAAGTTATTATGAACCAATAATTTTCTTTGATAGATAATTTTCTAGTTTATAAGTTGATTCAATATGTAAGTTTCCATTAAAAAATCTGAAGTTATAAAATGTTAAGGGATAATAATAGAAATGGGATACTATCAATATTTTTTATAAGAAAATGTTATATAATGTTTTATGTTTTGAAACATATTACCTGAGTCATATTTAAACTAGCACTATAATTTAGTTTTTAATGTTTTATTTACAGGATAATAAGATACTTTTCAAAACCAAAGCATTTTTTTTAGTTTTATTTAGTTTCTATAATATTTTTCTTAATTTATTAATCATGAAGTATTTTTTATGGTATTTTAACATTTTTTTCAAACAAAAACATACATAATTAAATAGTTCATTTCATAGATAATGATATAATTAAGAAAATTATTGGTAGATAACAATTTTTAGACAAATATTTCAGAAGTTATTGACATTAATATACATAGGCGGGAGGTGAGACGCAGATGCGGAATAACTTGTTAAGAATAACAACACCTACGTCTTACCTCACTTTTAAAGTGCTTTATTTTTTATATAGTTACAAAAAAATTACTTAGATATTTGAAAATTGTTTGAATTAGAATACTTAAAATCTTAAATATATCATTGTGCACCTGTTTTTTCTATTTGTCTTTTGTTCAAAAATTTTTTTAAACATACAATGATATTGTTTTATGTTTGCCTTATTGACTTTTTTAAAGATAACAGATTCAGGTTACTCCTGTAATATTAACTAAAATTTTATAAAGAGGCAATATATTTTATTTTAAATAGAAAATAAATAGGTTTAACTGTTCTTACTGAATTGATTTTGCTTAAGGACACGTCAAAAGATTACAGAACGTATCTAGATAAAGTTATCAGTAGCATAATTTTGAGAAATTTCTTTCAATTCAAGTAATAAATTGAAATGTCCCCAAAAAAAATTACAGTTGTTATAAAACAGTGTATGTTGCTATTTTTAGTTATAGCTTTGATGCAAAAGCTGTGAAGATATTAAATTTACTATGATGTCTTTTTTATTATATATTGAATTGGCATTTTTGAATATTGGACGGAAATTTATTGTGATATTTTTATTGACAATACTTCAAACATTCGTCTTTTTACGACATAATTTTTAATAATCCAATCATAAACAAGGTATTGTAAGGTCTTAAAAATTTTTTACGAACATTTACGGCAAGTTTAAAACTAAATTAAATTATAGCTAATTTAATACACAAATATACTATGTAATTAAAAAGCAAGGTCGTTTTGGAGATATATATTCTTTTTGAGTATTCGTCTTCCAAAGTCAAAAATCTTGTAATTTTTGGATGTGTTAATTTTTTTTTAATTTGATTCAATTACTCATAATTGAATACTAGGGACTTCCAAATCATATAACAATTATTTCTTTTCAATTTTTGATAATTTTCTAATAAACTTGAATTTTGTAAACTTACATCAAATTAAAACTTTTTCAATTCACATTAAGATAAAAAATAAAAAAAACCCAGCACAGGGGGGTCGTGGCACAGTGGTGACGTGGTATATATGGATCAAGTATAATGATATCTGACAGGAATTAAAATCACTATCAAAAAAAAACGCTTCGATGCAAATCTTTAGATACTGTTTAATTTTAAAAAATTGGTGGACTATTCCAAAAGCTACATGATATGCTAGTTCATTATTAATGTCCTAATTAAGATAAAGTATGTAGNTATGCTAGTTCATTATTAATGTCCTAATTAAGATAAAGTATGTAGAATGAAAAAGGGATTATTAAAAAATATTATTTCTTATAAAAAAATTGTATTGATCCATATATTTTTCAATAAGTTATAGCATTATAAAGTTAAATATAATATGAATAATAAAATTGAGAATTTTCACACGAAAATAGCATTCGGTAGCCGTTTTCACCATGAAGACAAGTCCAGAGGTCAAATTTTTTTTTAGCTTCGATGCGAAGCTGAGAAGATATTGGTTTCACTATGATGTGTTTTTTTTTTCTTGGGATTGTTACCACTTTTTCTCAGCTCTCACCGAACGGATTTCTTTCAACGATACGTCAAAAGATCACAAATCGTATCTAGTCGAAGACATTACCCTTCAAAATTGAAAAAATTTCCCTCGTTCCCCGTAAATGGGGGAAACCTCCAAAAAAATTACAAATTTAAAAATCGCTAATTTTCGAAATTTTTTCAATTTTTTTTACTAAAAACTGCCGTAACTTTTTCAAAAATGATCATATCTATATAATTCTTTTTTTTATAGATGCTTGATGTCTTTATCTATCATTTGGTATATTTTTTTTTTAATTTGACCTTTTTTCTGCCCACAGGGGAGGATTTAAAATGACAACTTTTTCACAAAAAATTAACTTTTTCAACTTAACTTTTGAAAATGTTCCGGAAGGTCTGACACTTTTATATATATCTTAAATTAAAGCTAATGTAATATACTTTAATTTGAAAAAAAAAAATTTGACCTCTGGACTTGTCTTCACGGCGAAAATGGCTACCGAATGCTATTTTCGTGTGAAAATTCTCGATTTTATTATTTATATTATATTTAACTTTATAATGCTATAACTTATTGAAAAGTTTATGGATCCACACAATTTTTTTATGAGAAATAATATTTTTTAATAAACCCTTTTTCATTCGACATACTTTATCTTAATCGAGATATTAATAAGAAACCAGCAGATCAAGTAGCTTTTGGAATAAAACACCAATTTTTTTAAAATTAAACACTATCTAAAGATTTGCATCGAAGCTAATAAAACGGAAATTTCCAGCAGTTATTTGGCATTAAAATCAACAATTATACAATTTTCTGCAAAAATAACTCATTTTAATGTGTTTTGCATATCAATGGAACGTTTACAGTGTTCAAAAATCAAAGGATTTTAGAACGCTATACGATTGAATGGAGAAATACGTTTATATGTCTCATTTTAATAAAAAATTGACTTTTAAAGTCAGATATCATGTAATTTTTGTTGAATTTGTTAATTTGTTACGCATAATACTAATTGAAGCATCTTACAACAGTTACTGTCAATTATTAATCAATACTAATTTAAAAAGTACCTCAACTCCTTACATTACATTCTGACTGTACTTAACTTGTTTTAAATTTAATAATAGAAGACACGTATCATTGAATATAACCCAAATGGTCGTTTAAAAAATATATTTTATTCGTTACCAACGTTGATTCTTAATAATACGTCATAATCCTGAGCAGACTTCAATTTCTAATCTTGGAAAACATTTTCACCCCGAATGGAAGTGATTAAGGGGAGACTTTGGGTAATCATTATTACCACAATAAGCAAATGATTCATATACAAATATTTTTCGAGAAATTAAATTTTAATTGGACTCCTTAAATGTTCACAATTTTTACCAAATTTCCCTCTATGTCCTTATTTTAGTTGAGCTCTGAAGCCAAAAATTATTTTTTTAAAGGGCTGAATTTAGTGCTAGTAAGTTTATTTAACTCAAAGTAACAAAATAATGACGAAGTTTTTTGAATTTAGTAATTTGGCAATTCGATTGCATAATATTTAATTATGAGGAGTGAAAAAATGAGTTAGTCATTTGTTTTAAACATTTTATTAAAAATACGTTTTAAATCAGTTAATATAATAAGATGAAAATAATCAACTGAATTCATTTTATGAAAACTATGCTCGCACACAAATATCGTTTAATATTAACAAACAATTATAAGACAAACACAATAAAATTATTTTAGATAGATATGTCTAAACATAATTTTTCTTTATTTAGTGTTACTTTTATTAATAATTTTAAAAAGGTCATAGTTTTTTATCCATTTCTTCTTCTTCTTCTTCTTCCTCGCCTTAATTCCAACTACTTGGGGTCGGCCACCCTTATCCTAAACTTCCCCTTGACACGATCTCTCACATCAGATGTCCTCATATCGGATTCAATAACATCTCTCCATCTTCTTTTTGGTCTTCCTTTACCTCTTCTTCCGTCAACATTTATTTCTATTACTGTTCTTACAGTTTCCGGTTGTTCTCTCCTCATAACATGAACAAACCATCTAAGTTTATTTTCTCTCATCTTATCCAAGATTGACGCTACACCTATACTCTCTCTTATATGCTCGTTCCTTATTCTATCTTTTTTAGTCACTCCACTCATCTATCTAAGCATTCTCATTTCTGTTACACTCATTCTCTGCTCTGCTTTCTTATCAACCGCCCAACACTCCGAACCATACATCATAGCTGGCCTTATTACAGTTTTGTAGAATATACCTTTCAGCCTCATTGGAATTCTTTTATCTAATTCTCTACTTCTACCAGTTAATGTTCCAACATTCTAAGTACCTATTCTTACTTTTTATCTATCTTTCTCCCTTATACACGAGT